CTAAGAAAGCAATAAACATATTTCCAAAAATATTATGACTTTAACTTCATTCTGGACCTTTGGTAATAATTTATGTAGCAAAGGAATCGAAGCTCCACTTACCAGCTGTTCGAACTTTCAAACACATTCACTCAAAGTGTTCATCAGTGAGACTCTGAAAGCTAGTGGACCATTGAGCTTTTTCTTTTGTTACATAACTATTATAATTATTAAAATAGCTGTTGATTAATTTTAACTAGTACATATTGACCAATCTTTTCCTCCCTGTAAAAAAGTGCTTATTTCAAATTTTCTATGAAAACGCAGTAGTTGATGAATAATGCCTTTATTTCCTGTCTCCAGATAACAACCAGCGTCTGTTTAGAATGATCTCTTATTTTCAGTTTCAGCCTCCCATGAGGCCGTGGGGGGCTCTCGATGGGAGGTACGGAGCATTCCACCTGGACTGTGGTGCGTTCGCAGGCCGCTGCGCTGTTTGTGTTGCATTACACATCGCAGCCCTCACAACTCCACTGGCTCCACTGGGCTTAGGCCCCTAGGATTTAAGCACGCAAAGCACCAGAGGCCAGAGGGACCAAGGGAAAAGAGGGAGAGGAATGAGGATGAGATGTGGGATGATGGTGTGTGTGTGTGTGTGTGTGTGTGTTGCTCTGTCCTTCTACGGGTTGACTCCTCTGTCTCCTTGTTGAGGTGTTTTGTTAACCTCGTCTCTGGGAAGCGAAGGGTACACACAGCAGAGTGAGCAGATAAAGCGAGACAGGGCACTCACACACACTCGCCCAAGGACTGTGCTGAACCTTTCCCACGCGTGTGTATGCGCACACACACAAACACGTATCCAGAAAATCACCTGAATAACAGCTTATCCGGTGTTTATTAAAGGTTTCCAGGGTGAATGCCAGGCCAGCGGGATGCCATCCAGCTGTTTGTGTCTTTGTGAGTGAGGTGCTGCCCGTCTGACAGGCAGGTTTCAGTCCTCCTGTGTTTTCTCCGTGGGTTGTTTTCATCACTGTCTGATAGTCTCCCAGCTGGACGCCTCGGCCAGAACGTAGCGCCCTGCCCAAGGCTACGCTGCACAACAAAGAGGGATCAAACGCCGCACATGGCTTTGATGAAAGTCTCGCAACTGCAATGGAGCAAATCAGTGCAGTGCAGAGCTGGTTGCTGGACTCCATCCACATCGGGAGGGAAGGCAGATCTGAGAGGAGAAAAAACCTCACAGAGCGTTTGAGAGAGACAGTGGGGTTCAGGATTCCCCCAACACTTCAGATTTAATGCAACAAATAATGTCCACGTTCCAGAGATTTTGGAAATTGTATTATCAGGTGTTATTCTCACCACTGTTATCTTTCCACATTTTCATATCACTGGTCACACACATGATGAAATTACTTTCAAAGGGTTCCATATCTGAGGTGAAACAATGGCCAGAGTGTTTTAGTCCTTCCAGGTTTGGTAAAGCAGTAGTGTGTAGCTTTTAAAAGAAGAAATAACACATTCCTCCTCTCAGTGAATTCTTAAACAATAAAACACACCCTTACTGCTACAGCCTTACTTGGTCTGGTATGACCAGTAGCCTATGATGGTTAAAGGTCCAGTGTGTAACACTGAGGAGGATCTATTGGCAGAGATGGAATATGATATTCATAGGTATGTTTTCATTAGTGTATTTAATCACCTGAATATAGGAATTGCTGTGTTTTCATTACCTCAGAAAGAGGCATATTTATGCTGCGGGTTGCCTTTTATGTTGAACTGCTTTGTTTCTAGTAGCCCAGAACGGACAAACCAAACACTGGCTGTAGACAAGGACTTTTGCATTTTCTCCTACACGCTTTACAGTCTGTTCTCATTCCCAGGTTTTCAAATACAGAAGTGAGCAGTGTTCAGTTATGTCGGGTCTGAGTGTGCTCAGGTCTCTCTGTTTTTCTGCACATTGCATTCAAAACGGTCTTCCATTGGTCCATTCTGGACCCATAAAGACCTCTAGCCTGTAGCTATAATATCCAGCAAAGGTTGCTGTCTTGATGGTGGTGGTTTCACTTCAAATAAACCCACTTTGAAGGAATTTAGTGTGTGAAATGTTTGGTAAAATACATTTGGCTACATTCTATCTTGTTAAAAAATCCATATAAGCTGAAGTTTTTGATCTCTTGGAGGCAACAAGGTGAATGCACAATATTGATATATTATCTGTCAACACTAGCATTCATTTGATGGATTAGCATTCACTTGTTGCGTTGCTGTTCCCCTCATTAATGGAAGTCCAATATTCACTCTCTTTTAGTTCTGTTTTTGGTTTCCTGAGAAAAATATTTATATCTGCTGTGGTGGGTAGAATACAGTGGGTTCAACAGAGCTTGTCATATTTTTTTTAACAGGGAGCTAAAAGATGCTAAATGTTCCATACACATTGAAACAACGCTGGGTTAAGATAGTACTGACACAATCCACTTATTACCCAGTGTTTTTTAGTGTGTAGAGCTGAAGGTAGGAGTTACACATTCAGTCATTACATCCATCCATTATTAATAATGAGATATTGATTAGTGTAGCCTTACACAGAATGTTGGGGCTTCATGATGTGAAAGCCCTGCACACACTCTGATAAAGGATAGGGGGCCTTGGCACTGATCCTGAGGAAACTAAGTCAACCTTATGAGAGAGTGAGGTCACCCCTGAGGGAGGATGTGAGCGGATGTGAATGAGATGAGGTGGAGTGGCAGAAAGCGGGGTTATCACGGCGATGAGTGCTAAATACTGACACTGTCTGGAGAGGAAAAGGAAAAAGAAGGCCATCAAAGAGACAGAGAGAGAGAGAGAGAGAGATTATCTGAACTGCTGAGAGGAGCAGATGAGAGGGTGGATGGAGAGGACGAGCTGTTTGACCTCTGGAAGGATGATATGATATAATTATACCACCACATTTAAAAGTAGTACTAGACGTAATGCACCAATGATGAACTTATATCCCTTTTACCTCTTAAGCTAAGGAGGGTTAAAGAAGCTGAGATGTAGCTAACAGCTGTCCATACGTACATAATGACATAAATAATCAGGATGTCATAAACCCTTTTTGTACACATCAGTGGTGTAAAACATTGGTAGCATGACTTTGTGTTGTGCATTACAGCTTTGTCAATAATCTGACAGCAGAATTCCCTGCAATCTGGATCTGTGCCACAGCTTGATTGAGACGGGCTAACAGGGCTTTACAGAGGTATGTGTGGTCTTGGGAACTCATAACCCTAGACTCATAAAAGAAACCTTAAGGAAAAACATGTCTACTTGTTCAGAATGATAGCCTTAAAGGTAATTTTGTCGGAATTTGTCTTTGCTTTATTATCAAGGGCCATTTTGATATTCAAATTCTGTCAACTGTATGAAGGAACCTGCAAATAAGAGTTAATTCCTTCATACTGAAATACTTATCACATCCATTACATTTGTCCTTGTCCCTTTAAGACTCTTTTACACACTTGTGGCGTTACATTTCACACAGGTCGCCAGCTTTAGTTCCTCTAATTTCGGTTAGCATGTACCATTGTGTAGCCTTATGTGGTGCAAAATACAGTGGGAACATTGTCAGGCCCCAGATAGTCTGTTGTAAATGTGCCACTATTTTTCTTTTTAATGGATGTGAATACATGAATATATTTTGGGGGTTGTTAAACACTGCATTTTTTAAACATCCAACATTGTTTGATTTTGGGAAATACACTGATTTGCTTTATTTCTGAGAGCGATAAGATCAATGTCAGTATCTGTTGTAACTAGAGTCATAGTTTGGTTGTTCTAGATTAGCATAAAGTCTGGAAGCAGGGAGAAACAGCTAGCCTGGCTCTGTCTAAAGTTTGATAACGTATACACAAAAGAAAGAACAATTTATCCATCCTAAAACATAGAAGGGGAGGGTGAAATGAGTTGCAACTACATTGCTAGATGCCACTAAATCCTACAAATGTTAATTTAAACAAATTAGATACATCCTGTTAATTGGTCATTTTAGTTTGGCATTATTTTTCACTTTGGACAGAACCAGGCTAGCTGTTTCCCCCTGCTTCCAGTCTTAATGCTAAGCTAAGCTAAATACCTCCTGACGCCACTGCTACACACACACACATACGTCCAGTGTTGGGCAGAAACTCATTACTAGTGATAATATTACAGGAATAATGATACTTTTACCAGCAACAAATAGTGTAAATAATTAATAATAATACATTAATGCTATGTAGTGTTTTTTTGTAGTGCAATTTAAGAGCACAAATAAGTAATTAGAGAGCCTGAATTGCTGCCCTTGACACCTGCCTACCTAAACTTCTTGGAACTTCTTGGTTTCTTTGAATCAAGTGTTTTCAAAAGTAATCTGTATTTTTGTGCCATGTTTGAAGATACAAGCATTTACTTCAACAATCTGTGTGTGAAACTGCACTAGAAAGGAGGAGTTCTTTCATCTCATCTGCAAAACCTTCTAATGTCTGCAAAAACAAAAATTTTTAGACTCAACATTTGTTAAATTAGTGAGAGTGAAGACGGTACATAACCAGGGCTGCCCCCTCTGTGGGGAGTCAGTGCCAGCTTATGAGAAAACCTATTCCTGTAAGGTGCAGCTGGGACTGGAGATATGAGGCTGAAGTGTGGTGAGGTGGATGTGTGAGGGTCAGGGCAACCAGACTGATGCCATTTTCTCACACATCTTAGATTGTGTGTGTGTGTGTGTGTGTATTCAGTATCTCCCTGACCTGTCTGGCCTGGAGGTGGTGTGTATGATAAGCCACTTTCCCTCCTCTCAGTGTCCTCACAACCAGACATTTATCCCAAACATTCCACAACATCATGGGAACCAACTCACCGGACACAAGCTCTGCTTCATCTGAATAATGTCGTTAAATTCAATCCTACCACTTTTACCCAAATATGTCAGATTCTGTACTTACATGTGCTTTCAGCAACACTTATTGCAAACTAAAAAGGTCCTGTTGTGTTTTTTCTGTCAGGTACCTGGCCAAGCTGTCGTCTGTGGGAAGCATCAGGGATGAGGAGACGTGCGAGAGGTTACGAGGCCTCATCCAGAGACAGGTAGACACCTCTACTGACAATAATTAACTATGTGTGGACAGCTCCACAACTGTTGCTACATGCTAAAAGCGCACCAGACTCTTAGAGTTACAAATGCACCACGGTGGGACCTCCGCCAAGCCTCGCAGCATCTCAACCGCTATTGGATGGATTGGCATGAGATGGTCCCCAGAGGATGAATCCTATTGACATTATATGTTTTTAGTGTAATATCTTACAAATGTTGGATGGATTGCCATAAAATCTGGTATAGATATGCTAATGATTTTGGTTATCCTCTAATTGTCTTCCGAGCCACCAGGATTTCATATCTTTCACTTGTCCAGTGAAATATCTCAATATCCACTAGATGGATTAAATAGTATGTTGCTCCTATGTGTGTCTCTGCTCCAGGTTCAGATCTGTAAGCGCAGTGTGGAGGTAATGGATGCGGTGCGTCGCGGAGCCCAGCTGGCTATAGATGAGTGTCAGTTCCAGTTTCGCAACCGTCGATGGAACTGCTCCACTCTGGAGACCATGCCTGTGTTTGGCAAAGTGGTCACCCAGGGTAAGATTATACACTGCAGGGATCATTGTCACCAACTCCCTGCAAACGTCTGGACACAGAAGAGACACAGACAGACAATAAAACAAGCTTATCAGTCTTTTCTACCTGCATGTATTTACAAAATCAGGACCTAAATATATTTGATATCACCTCAAACCTGCTTCCAAAGCTGATTCGATGTGGATTACTTAATGCTATTTTAAAATATCCTGACATTTTTTAGCTAGTTTCCATTTGTATTGGCTTGACCAGCTCCTGCATGTTAACATCTGGCCTCCTTCCCTTGGACTTTAACACACTCTTTATCTTTGAAACACTGTTTTTTTGCCATTCAGAATGAGAAGGTCTTCTGAGTTTCATAATGAAACAATATTACTGTGTGTGTTTGTGTGTGTTAGGCACCCGTGAGGCAGCCTTTGTGTATGCCATCTCAGCAGCCAGTGTGGCGTTTGCGGTCACAAGGGCCTGCAGCAGCGGAGAGCTGGAAAAATGTGGCTGTGACCACAATGTTCATGGAGTCAGTCCAGAGGGTAGGTCTCTCTCGCTTACTCTCTCTCTTTCACACAAACACACCAACACACACACACGCAGAGGAAACAGAACTACCCAGTACATTAGACTAGATAACATTACATTAGACAGGACTAAATAATGTGACATTTCAAAGAATTATTTTATTTTGAAAAAGTCAGACAGATAGCATTGGTAGCATATTATTATGCCATCTTATCTCCATGTGTAGCCAGATTTTTTACAATATGAATACCAGGTCATGCATTACTACCATCAATACTGAAATACTAACAAGTGGCTACAAAATAGCATTCAAATGTAGTCTTTATACAATGTCTCTTAATATCTTGTCATAGGGTTCCAGTGGTCGGGCTGCAGTGATAACATTGCGTATGGAGTGGCCTTTTCTCAGTCCTTTGTGGATGTGAGGGAGAGGAGTAAAGGCCAGTCATCCAGTCGGGCTCTCATGAATCTGCACAACAATGAGGCGGGAAGGAAGGTAATTCACTGCCCTTGACTAGACCTTTTGTAGAACACTGCACTTCTTTTAGTATGGAGTCCAGAGGGGTCACGTTTTTTGTTTTCTGAACTCCATTGACTCCGAGACGAGGTATAGGGATCATACAGCTCAGCCTTTATCTCAGGATCAGAGGGAATGCAAAACATATTGCGAAGGAACGCAAAATATTGCAGGGAAACGTAAAAGAAAATAAGAAAAAGAAAGTCCCACTGTGACCTTTTGGGGGTTCTGTATTTTAGCTGGTAGTTTGTCAGCAGCAGCAACAATAAATAAATAGAGTTGTTCTTTTTGGAAAATCCCAAGTCAAGTTTCAAGTTATTACAGACAAGCTAAAGTAATTCAAGATAAGCCAGGATCAAGTCTTCAATCCAGTCAAGTCCCAAGTCATTCAAGTTATGCGTTGTCATCATCTTATTTTAAGTTCTGCCTGTTAACCAATGGTTCTTTGGCATCTCTGCAGGCCATCCTGTCCCACATGCGTGTGGAGTGCAAATGTCATGGTGTGTCAGGCTCCTGTGAGGTAAAGACCTGCTGGAAAGCCATGCCGCCCTTCCGCAAGGTGGGAAACGTCATCAAGGAGAAGTTTGACGGCGCCACTGAGGTGGAGCAGCGCAAGGTGGGCACCACCAAAGTCCTGGTGCCTCGAAACTCCCAGTTCAAACCTCACACAGATGAAGATCTGGTCTACCTGGAACCCAGTCCAGATTTCTGCGACTATGACCCGCGCACACCGGGTATGCTGGGCACGGTGGGCCGCCAGTGCAACAGAACCTCAAAGGCCATCGACGGCTGCGAGCTGATGTGTTGTGGCCGCGGCTTCCAGACACAGGAGGTGGAGGTGGTGGACAGGTGCAGCTGTAAGTTCCACTGGTGCTGTTATGTCAAATGCAAACAGTGCCGCAAAATGGTGGAGATGCACACTTGCCGGTGATGGGAATGGGGGGGGCACAGAGGGCACTGCTGATGAACAAAACAAACGCCCCACACTCATACTCCAAGGCCAGAGGGAGCAAGGAGGACTTGTGAAGCTCCCTCTCCTCCTGCTTGAAACCACCCACCTCCTACTACTGGTCAACAGAAACAGACTGAGTGGCTGAGAGGTCAAATGTCATCCTATTCATTCATCCACCGTAATGGATATCAATAGATTATGCATGGGATTTCCTACAAAGCTACAGAGGCAGTTTGTTTCTTCTAGTAGAGAGCATCTTTCACTTTCTGTCTCCCTCCCTCACTCTCATATTTGCTTTGTCATTGATGCTTCTTATTTTTGTAATGTTTAACTTATTTGTTCAGATTGACGAGGGGTGGACCTAGAAGGAGGGGACAGATGAGTGGAGATAATAAGGGACAAACTGGACCCATGGGTGGGCAGATGGGTGGGTAGGGTAAAGGGGTTGGGGTGGGGTCAAGAGGAGGGTTGTTTGCCCTCTGTCCTTGCTGCTGCTGCTTCGGGGACTCACTTTGAGTGCTGGATGTCAAAAAGGGAGACGGCGAGGCGAGGCGAGGAGGGGCGTCACAGTCGGACTTTCTGTGATTTGCTTCCTGAGTGTACATGGCTGTGCTGCGCTGAGGTTCAGTTGCTGTCATTTATTTTGCCTCCTGCAATGCCCTGATGCTGCTCCACTCACTTACACACACTCACTCTCTTTCTGTCAGAGGGAGGATGATGATGGACAGGTGAAAGCCACTGTCAGCTGCTTCCTGTCTTTTCTGTCGGCCCGTAGCACTGGCAGGTGATGGGCATGAGACACACAAAACACACACATCCCTACAGCAAACATTGCTCCAAAACCACACGTCTATCCACAGCTGCTACCTGCAATGGGAATCCAGAAACCTTATATCAAAACAGATTCCAGATCAGATTTAAAATGATTTGTTACCATTTCAGAGCATCATATTGTGAAAATCTTGTGTGCTCATTTGGATTGATGTTGAGCTTGGGCTCCTCCTGCACGTTGCCATCTGCCAAATGCTAGTTGGCTTAATGCAAACATGAGTAAACACACAGAGACATGCATGCACCAGCAAACACACATAATGTAAACACACACGTACACAAAAGGGGTCTGCCAGAGGGTTGCCGAGCATGTTCACCATGCATGATGACTGAAGCACTTTCTCTCCAAGCGCACATAGAGCCCTCGCCCCGCAGCAACAAACAACTGACCACATATTCAATTTTCCCTGTTCCTCTCTCTCTCTCTCTCTCACACACACACACACACACAGAGTTTCCCATGCCACTGTCAGGACTCTTGTTGTCTTGTACCACCACCATAAAGCCAAGCTTTACTATAATAACGTGCTATCATTATAGAGACATACTGTAGATCTGTAAAGACTTATACACTGAAGAAGACTATACTGCCTATGAATGTATGTTAATACGGAATATATGCTGTGTCAAAAATGACTCTTGTCACTTCTTTCAAAAGAAACGCATGTGTGTGTGTGTGTGTGTGTGTGTGTGTTTGTGGATGTGTGAGAAAGAAAGAAATCCACAAAAAACAATGTTGCCCAGAAGGAAAGAAAGAACATGAGAGGATAGAAAGATGGAAAGTGAAAAGGAGCAGCTCTTATTCCACCACCAAGCTCTGAGACACACACACACACCCTGCTGACAGACATACACATATTTCAATAAAATCGTCCATTTCCCGTGTCTTTCAGCTGCATTATTATGTGGCCACAGTGTGCACTGTGCTGCATTTTGTGTGTGTGTGTGTTTGTGTATAAGTGTGCTATTTGTGTGAGGTATATTACACCCCGAGGTCCTTCCCTGCACCCCTGACACCTATAAACATAATTTATGCACCATATATCACTGCATACACTATATCAACCAGAGATAAATGGATGTGTTTCCCGCGGCGTTGGGAACCTGGTAGTCTGGTTTTGGGAAGAACCAGAGCGGCCACTCGGGTTTCAGCGCCCGCCTGATTGGGTTTGGGCTGAAGAGGGAACAGAGGCAGGAACACCGGGCTAGAACAGGGATTACAGTGAAATGCAGACCACATGGCACAAGCTTTTTCCCTCCTTCTGTCTCTATCAATATCATACTGCCCCCCAAATCCAGCTTTTGCTCTTTCTCCTGCAATATCTTTGACTTACGCTGGTTCCAGTCCGCTCCCCCTCTGCGGAAAGTGTAACCCTAACCACTCTCGGTCTGCAACGGTGGAGATCTGTCCTTCATTAAGCCACCATGATGGCATAGATGAGGTGGGTGGTGGTGGCCACACTGATTGGGAATGTCTGTTGGCTCGTGTGTGTGTGTGTGTGTGTGTGTGTGTGTGTGTGTCAGACAGCCACATGTACAGTAAGGCAGTCAGTCAGAGAACTGTAATGCCTTTTGTGGTTTGCTGCAGTTGTGGCGAGACAAGAGACAAGAGGCTGACAGTAGGTTTTTACCACTTAGTGTATTTGTGTATGTGTGGGAGTGTGTCAAAATTAAGATGCAATAAATATGGGTTTACGAAGACTGGTACAAATATTTGTGGAATGAAACTATTCATAGCTGCTATTTTGTACTAATACTTAACATCCATACAGACAATTTTTACGCCAACATTTTTCCAAACAATGATTCTCCCTGTTTGAGTACACATCACCATGTCTTTATGTTGGTCATCATTTTAAAAGTGTGTAAGAGTGAGTTTAGCCTATAGCTTTTCTCAATTACTGAACCAGGAATCAGATGTAGGAAAACACTAGCCTAGCATTTAGAAGCTTTTCTTTGATAATGTTATCACACATCACTAAAATACTAGCACATTTCCTTATTTTGTGTTTGTACATAGCCTACAGCTCCTATACACATAGAGGCTTAATGCCTGACATTCTTTACGTTGCTGTTACGGGATCTCTTGTAAAAAGGGATAATGTTAGCTTAAATACTCTATACTACCCAGCATTAAGAGACATATACCTTGTTACCTTGCATTCCTGTTAACTGTCCATATTCAAAGACATATCGACATCCACTACAGCAGTTGCTGTTGGAAGTTGAGGCCATGTCTGAGCTAACTGCGACCCCTCGACATTTAACCTGTGATTGTCTATGGGCTTATGGGAAATGGATTATGTCAAAGACCAGTGAAACCAGAAATTTTGAATAAACACTATATGACATGTTTTTTTATAAAACAATGCTGATTTTGTCTATACAAAGAAGCGAGCCACACAACATGCTACTGAGTAGGATTTTGTTCCATGGCCGGACTGGTTGTAACCAGTTGTTGTTACAACTGGCAATGAGATTTTGCGTGAGGTTTTCTTAATTCTGGACCTGAGAGCCATGGTCTCACTTCAGCACCCTGTAGCCACAGTGTTAGCAGGAATACAGACCTATATATTGAAGGCCTATAATATGCAACACATAAGGCCAAAAGAAGGTTGTGAAGTCATCTAACCTTTAAATGTGTACAGTTTAAAACTTTGGACAGGCCTGGGTATACAAATTTTAAAAAAATCTGTGGATTAAGCTGAGCTAACTTTTATTAAGTATCAATAAATAAACATGGCATGTGATAAGTGCAGAACTGCTTTGGTGCCTAAATCCCACAGACTTTAAAAGGAAGACAATACAATAAAAAAACATCAAGGTAATAAATACAATTTGATTGATGTGTTGTATAATTAGCATGTTTTTTACAAACCACAGAAGCACTGGTACTTAATAAATACTTCCTGAAGGTATGAGAGGTAACAAGATAACGATGGTGTGATTCCACCCTTTCACATAAATCTTCCAGCCAATTCTTCTCCCAGACAGGCAGCTAATAGTTCAAATTACACATCAGGTACCTCTGCATACCTCAGGTTAAAGGTTTTCTGATGCTGTCTCTCCTTCCCTGTTAGTGTGTGTTGTGAGTGTGAAGGGTTAACAGTGCAGGTTGGCTGGATAATAATGCCCCACGCTCATGGAACTCAGGAGAAGGCTGGCCTTAGCCCAGGGCCCGGCCCTCCCAGGCCTCTCTCAAACTCCCAGATCTCTTCAGCATACTTCTCATATTAAAAGAAAACAAGTTACACACATGAGACAGATGGTTCTTGTTTGTGATGACAGTTGCAATTCTTTCTCCTGCAGCCCTCCTCCCCTCTTCTTCCCTCTCGGCTTTCCTCTGGTGTCTCCGCTGTATTTGCCCTGAAACGGCCACATTGTGCAACAAGAGCAGTGAGAGTCGGACTAGTGGGCATCGAGATAGAGCGTAGCTACGTACTGGTGCAGAGGACTTACGGACTGTATTTTACCTTGACACTTTGAGTACACTTGTAAGTTTGATGTCATTTCTACCCCAAGTGCACAATAAGTCAATCAAAAGGTGGGTAAACCTGGCCTGGTATCACCAAATGGCATATGAATAACACACCAATAATAGAAGTTATTTTGCATCATCAGACATCATCATCATTTCACACCATTTCTCCTGATTTATATTGTGCAGAGACGGTGTGTCATTTCATGTGTGAATTAATTTAGTGTGGCTAGTTTAAACCAAACCACAATGTTTTCCTAAACCTAACCAAGTACTTTTGATGCCTAAACGTGACCAAACTGCAGCCATTTCATAACGTCACCTGATTATTGTTATGAACCCAAGGAAGGTCACCTTTCCTGCAAGTCCAAAACTCTCAAGGTTAAAATGCATAGACATTCAAAATGTCCTTAAAAGTGATGTGCTATTTATATTACTGGGACCTCCAGTGCTTTATTTTTATTCATGCTTATTATGAGATATGAATGACACAATTTCTTACTTGCTAACACTGATTAGCTGCATATGTATATACGTTTAATTTAAAAAGTGTTCCTCATATACATTAATGGCAGGACAAAAGGCAAAGTGACAAAGAATAATGTAGGAATAGCTCCATAAAGGAGGTTAAGATGGTTGATCACTGACTAGTTTGAAGTCATCGTGGGGGAGGGAAACCACAGGAGAGGTGGATAATGGGGGATTGGTGGTTGACTTTGAGGAGTGATGTAGGTAACTGTCTACATTCCTCTACTCTGTACTGGTAAACCCCTGAGGGCAATGACAGACAGAGAGACAGAGACTTGGACAATTGGCAACAGAGACACAAACAGAAACAGAGAACTGTAGCCTGAAGGTTTATGAAATAGCACATTATGAAAATGATTGAATTTTCTTATTTAACAAAGACTAAACACATTACTTTACCATGCCAGCTGTGTAATCTGTGGGCACTTACTATTTGGCTAATGTGGCTCCTCGCATGTCTTCCTTGCGTCATAGCTGTGTCTGTGACACTGAAATAAAATATGTTACTGAAAGAACATAATGTCAAAGGAAATGGGCCAAGAATAGAACCCTGTGGCATGCCATTA